TGTGTTTTAACCAAATTTCTCTGACTTCAGAATGTGTTTTAACCAAATTTCTCTGACTTCAGAATGTGTTTTAACCAAATTTCTCTGACTTCAGAATGTGTTTTAACCAAATTTCTCTGACTTCAGAATGTGTTTTAACCAAATTTCTCTGACTTCAGAATGTGTTTTAACCAAATTTCTCTGACTTCAGAATGTGTTTTAACCAAATTTCTCTGACTTCGGAATTTATCAAATGTGTTTTCATAATGTGTTTTAATCTGGAGCTTCGTCTTCACCTTCTGCCATGATCAACACTTCTTGCTCAAGCTTTCTTCTTCTTTAGTTTGTTTCTCTGTAAACTATCAGTTTGATGCTTTTGCTTGTTCTTGTACTCTGCCCAAAATAAAATGTAAAGTTGTGGTTAACAACCAAGTTGACTTGTTAATTATTTTGTGCCTGAGTTGGGAGTGTACATTGAATTTGCATTTAGTTTCTTTGAATTTGCATTTAGTTTCTTTGAATTTGCATTTAGTTTCTTTGAATATTTGACCTAAAATTCAGTTCAAATGAAAAAAAATAATCGAAATAGACGTTTTGTGAGCTAAATTACCAGAGAAATTCTCAATCCAGAGAAAATTCTCAACCCAGAGAAAATTCAGTTCCATTGCCAAATACTCTTGGAAGCTTGAACCCAGAGAAATTTGAATTTTCTCTGGGTTGAATCCAGAGAAAATTCTCAACCCAGAGAAAATTCAGTTCCATTGCCAAATACTCTTGGAAGCTTGAACCCAGAGAAATTTGAATTTTCTCTGGGTTGAATCCAGAGAAAATTCTCAACCCAGAGAAAATTCAGTTCCATTGCCAAATACTCTTGGAAGCTTGAACCCAGAGAAATTTGAATTTTCTCTGGGTTGAATCCAGAGAAAATTCTCAACCCAGAGAAAATTCAGTTCCATTGCCAAATACTCTTGGAAGCTTGAACCCAGAGAAATTTGAATTTTCTCTGGGTTGAATCCAGAGAAAATTCTCAACCCAGAGAAAATTCAGTTCCATTGCCAAATACTCTTGGAAGCTTGAACCCAGAGAAATTTGAATTTTCTCTGGGTTGAATCCAGAGAAAATTCTCAACCCAGAGAAAATTCAGTTCCATTGCCAAATACTCTTGGAAGCTTGAACCCAGAGAAATTTGAATTTTCTCTGGGTTGAATCCAGAGAAAATTCTCAACCCAGAGAAAATTCAGTTCCATTGCCAAATACTCTTGGAAGCTTGAACCCAGAGAAATTTGAATTTTCTCTGGGTTGAATCCAGAGAAAATTCTCAACCCAGAGAAAATTCAGTTCCATTGCCAAATACTCTTGGAAGCTTGAACCCAGAGAAATTTGAATTTTCTCTGGGTTGAATCCAGAGAAAATTCTCAACCCAGAGAAAATTCAGTTCCATTGCCAAATACTCTTGGAAGCTTGAACCCAGAGAAATTTGAATTTTCTCTGGGTTGAATCCAGAGAAAATTCTCAACCCAGAGAAAATTCAGTTCCATTGCCAAATACTCTTGGAAGCTTGAACCCAGAGAAATTTGAATTTTCTCTGGGTTGAATCCAGAGAAAATTCTCAACCCAGAGAAAATTCAGTTCCATTGCCAAAAACTCTTGGAAGCTTGAATCCAGAGAAAATTCAAATTTCTCTGGGTTGAATCCAGAGAAATTTGAGAAATTCTACTACTAAGAAGGTGGAGAATTTTTAAAAACAGAAAAAGAAAAAAAACCTATTTTAACCTCCTTCACTTGTGCATGTGTTTGGTCTCCGACTTCAGAATTTATCAACCATGAACCATTGCCTCCACTCTCACTCTCATTCACTGACATACCCACTAAATTGATTATGACAATACCAGAACAAATTCCATAAAAACAAGCACACAAGTGTGTTTATAAAATTAGAGAGAGGGAGAGAGAACAGAGTAGTAGAGAAATCCAGAGAAGTTCTGAATTTATCTCCAAAGAAATTTTGAATTTCTCTGGAACTGATATTGATGTTTTATGGCAGGATGGGAAAATACAAAGGCTCAAGGCTTGTATGATGATGCTGAATTTTCTCTGCGTTGAACCCAGAGAAATTTGAATTTTCTCTAGGTTGGATGTATATATAAGAATCAGTTTGTGTGCACACTTTTAAAAAAATCAAAATAGAAAGCACACCGGGATTGAAAAACCTGAAAACACACTCAGATTTCTTCTTCCCACAGTAACGAGCAGCCATTGGATTAAACTAACCAAACTCTTTTTCTCTCTCTCTCTGAAACAGTGATAATAACTGATTCTTGGTTGCTCCAATGGGTTGATGATTGAGTACTGAAACAGAAATTCAATGTAACAACAACACCACCAGTGTCCAATATCAACGCCTCTGGATCGCCGCTCCTCAGACGGCTCGGCGACGCCATTGAAGGTCGGATCCGGTGAAGGTGGAGTTCAATCGGTTGGAGAATGAAGTCAGAGCTGAGGACACAAGAGTTGATCTGGACAGGTATGAGAATGGAGAAGTTTAGAGAGAGAAAGTGAGAGATGAGTTTTGATTTGGTAAGGTCAAATTTCTCTGTGATATGTTTAGGGACCTTAGACATCAAAAAATAATTTTGTGGATCTCTCCCATTATGAAAAGTGGGAGAGGGACCCTAGACCAATTTTCCCTAAAGTTAAATGAATTAAATTAATTGAAAGTGTAAAAATTTAAATTAAATAAAAAAAGTATGATAAAAAAAAATTTTGTTCACATAATTAAAGAATTATTAATAAAAAATATTTTGGAATAATTAAAAAAAAAATCTTAAGATTTTAGCTTGTAACAAAATAAACTCTAGTTTTCAATTTTATTAATTTAAATTCTAATCTTTTAATTTATTTTCAATCTAAATTATTTACGTATTTTCATTAAATAAATAATAAAAAAAATATTTTAGTCATCAATGACAAAATATATAATCACACCATAAATTGGTGTAAACATAATAGACAAAATTTTAGAAACTATAAGGTAGTGTTTGGTAACGTTTACGTATTTAGTTTATGTTTACAAAAATTTTATAAATTGGTTTTTGTTTATTTTTAGAAAAACATAAATTACAAACGCGTTTGGTTTGAACAAATGTTTACAAAATTTTAAAAATATAAACTAAAAAATATGTTTGTTCAGGCCTAAAATATTTATATTTATTTTTATTATTTATAACAATGGGATCACACACATTATAATTGAAAAAAGTTAATTAAAAAAATAATTGGAAAAAATATTTGAAAAAAAAATTAATCCAAAAAATAATTGAAAAAAAAATTATTTAAAAAAAAAAGTTAATTGAAAAAAAAATTATTTGAAAAAAATTATTTGAAAAAAAAATTATTTCAAAAAAAATCATTTGAAAAAAATAATTGAAAATAAATTAATTGAAAAAAAAATAAAAAACTGAAAACGTAAACTCATTTTTTGAGCTTACGTTTTTTCTTCAAATTTATAAACTCAGACAATCATTTATAAACCAAAAAAAATTATCAAACAAGTTTTTATGACAGTTTTTAAAATTTTTATAAATATAAACTGAAAACTAAAAACGGAATAGTTACCAAACAGACCATAATATTGTAATCAAGTCACAAAGTTTTGTGATATAAAATAGAAAATACATAACTGCATCACTAATTGGCGTAACGAAATTGTTTAAAATTTTAGAAAATCACAAATGTCGTAACTAATTTCCAAAATTTCATAATATTAACCAAAAATTATGTAACTATCCACTAATTGGTGTAACAAAAACATCTAAAATTTTTAAATAATTTAATCACCAATCGGGATCTCTAATGATACAGATAAACACAAAATGTAATGACAATAATCAAATAATTTAATCCACGACTTATAGCCATGGAACAGAAAATGAGAGTTAGAGAAAATTAACCAATAGAGCGAAAGGAAAGGGAATATGACTAAGAGAGACTGAACGGACTTGTCATCTGTGAAAATAATGTCAAAGATGGTGTTGTTTCCGATAAGGAACATCGGAGATATCTATAGTGACAGTAAGGAATGAGAGAGATGTTTGATAGATGAAAGGAGATGGGATAGCAAAACAGTACAACAAAATCGTAATATTCATTTTCAACAGTTCTATAAGATATGTACAAATTGATAAAATCATAATTACGGCCAAAGATTTGTATATGTATGACAGTTTAGAGAGAATGAGAGTTTGAGAGACAAATCTGTTGTGAGAAATAAAATGTGAGAGGGGTGGTATTTATAGGACTTGGGAGGGAGGAGTTAATTTATAAATATAAAAATAAAAAAAATAAAATTGATTGTTGGTGGAATTAACGGTTATATGACTCTTTCAAATTGTTTTGATTTAAATTTTTGACCATTGCACTAACAATGGGGGCAGGGAGCCATTGGGGTCAGGTCGAGCCAGATGGGAAAGAAAATTTCGGGGCGATCTCACGGGATGGGTCACACTCCATAACACAGCAGGGTCGGGTCGGGCTCTGGAACACATAGCTCAGGGTCTTAGGTTGGGTTTAGGCTCAAGCCTAGTTAGGCCTACCCAGGGCACGAGCGGACTTGGGGTGTGCTGCGAGCTCATGGGCTAAATTTACACCCCTATATGTGGGTAGTGGTTATAAGATATATGATTAGTAGTTATGATATATGTGATATTAATTATGAAACAAAGGGTGCTGGTTATGAGATGTGGTTATAATATATGTGGGTAAAGGTACTGAGATATATGATTAGTGATTACGAGGTATGTGATTTTGGTTATGAGCAGAGTGGTATAGTTATAAGTCAAAGGGTGTTTGGTTACGAGATATGTGATTAGTAGTTATGATATATGTGATGTTGGTTATGAGATATGTGGGTAATGGTTATGAGTAAAGTGGTCTCAAAGGGTGTTTGGTTATGCTATATGTGTTAGTGGTTATGAGATATGTGGGTAATGGTTATGAGCAAAGTGGTGTCAAATGGTGTTTGGTTATGAGATATGTGATTAGTAATATGAGATATGTGGGTAATAGTTATGAGCAAAGTGGTGTCAAAGGGTATTTGGTTATACTATATTTGTTAGTGGTTATGAGATATGTGGGTAATAGTTATGAGCAAAGTGGTGTCAAAGGGTATTTGGTTATACTATATTTGTTAGTGGTTATGAGATATGTGGGTAATAGTTATGAGCAAAGTGGTGTCAAAGGGTATTTGGTTATACTATATTTGTTAGTGGTTATGAGATATGTGGGTAATAGTTATGAGCAAAGTGGTGTCAAAGGGTATTTGGTTATACTATATTTGTTAGTGGTTATGAGATATGTGGGTAATAGTTATGAGCAAAGTGGTGTCAAAGGGTATTTGGTTATACTATATTTGTTAGTGGTTATGAGATATGTGGGTAATAGTTATGAGCAAAGTGGTGTCAAAGGGTATTTGGTTATACTATATTTGTTAGTGGTTATGAGATATGTGGGTAATAGTTATGAGCAAAGTGGTGTCAAAGGGTATTTGGTTATACTATATTTGTTAGTGGTTATGAGATATGTGGGTAATAGTTATGAGCAAAGTGGTGTCAAAGGGTATTTGGTTATACTATATTTGTTAGTGGTTATGAGATATGTGGGTAATAGTTATGAGCAAAGTGGTGTCAAAGGGTATTTGGTTATACTATATTTGTTAGTGGTTATGAGATATGTGGGTAATAGTTATGAGCAAAGTGGTGTCAAAGGGTATTTGGTTATACTATATTTGTTAGTGGTTATGAGATATGTGGGTAATAGTTATGAGCAAAGTGGTGTCAAAGGGTATTTGGTTATACTATATTTGTTAGTGGTTATGAGATATGTGGGTAATAGTTATGAGCAAAGTGGTGTCAAAGGGTATTTGGTTATACTATATTTGTTAGTGGTTATGAGATATGTGGGTAATAGTTATGAGCAAAGTGGTGTCAAAGGGTATTTGGTTATACTATATTTGTTAGTGGTTATGAGATATGTGGGTAATGGTTATGAGCAAAGTGGTGTCAAAGGGTATTTGGTTATACTATATTTGTTAGTGGTTATGAGATATGTGGGTAATGGTTATGAGCAATATCGAGAAACTGATATGTGACTAGTGGTTATGAGATATGTGATGTTGGTTATGACTCAAAGGGATTGGTTATGAGATGTGGTTATGAGGTATGTGATCAATAGTTATGAGATATGTGATATTTGTTATGATCAAAGTGGTGTTGGTTATGAGATATGTGATTATGATTATGAAATATGTGATATTAGTTATGAACAAAATGGTGTTGGTTATGAGATATGTTTATGAAATATGTGATATTAGTTATGAACAAAATAGTGTTGGTTATGAGATGTAGTTATAGCTAAGTTATGATCAATTTGATTATAGCTATGAAGAAATATGATTTTAGCTCATAATTATAAAAAGTGACCAACAGGTCACTTTTAATGATGTGGCTCAATCCTAACCATTGATTTTATATGTACCGTACATTTTTTATACAAAATGTACTATAGACTTTCCCGAGGTTTAGGGAGACGAGTCAACAAAGTTTTTTTTTTTTTTCTTCTTTTCTTTGATAGGTGTAGGGAGACAACAAAGATATATATGATAAAGGGGTACTTTTTCTTAATCATGAATTACGGTATGATAAATCTCACCAACCACAAATAGATTATGATGAATTTCATATCAATATTGATGTGCCCTTCTACCCTTTTGATTGTTCACTGGAGGGAGAAAACTCATGTACAAGCAAGTTTGTTGACTTTGGGGATTCAAGTCCTTTGTAAACTGCTATAGAACTAAAATTGTGACTGTTTATGAGTTATTCCTAAATTTTTAAACTTACGAGAGCACAAACCAAAATTCAATATACTTAAAAAAATGTAGAAATTGAAAACATAAAAATAAATTCCATACCCAACCATATATTAGAGATTCCTTGAAGATGGATGAACACGGAACTCATGTATAGGCATCTTATTAGACTTCCCCAGTTATCTTTGGATAATAAGTGTGTACTTCAGTTTGACTCATAAAAGCCAGATCTTGAGCTTCATAAATCTCTGACTGCAAAGAACATTCTCAGTCCTGAACAAGTTAAAACTTCTCCATTACCAGGCCTTTAAATTGCCTCCAAATTGTGTTTGCTGATGGAAATTATCTGTTCAACTCTTATACTGAACAGCTTCAATGGTGTCTGAAACTGCGAACCATGAAAACAATGTAATGATTGCTGATGAACTGACCAATTCCGGTATAGTTTATCCCTAACTATCAAATCCCACTTTCATAAATGTGAAATGTAGTTGATTTTCTGTCAAGAACAATGAATTTTGTAGCATACGTGACCTTCATCTGAATGGATGAAAACTGCAACTCTTTTACCTATATTAACTTGGAAAAGATCCTTTCGTTGGTCCTAATCCCATCATTGGCATCCTGTTTATCTTCTTGTAATCTTAAATAAAT